CTGGCAACGTCGAATGGTGGTACCGAAGGTATTCTGATCCGCTGCAGCAGATGGTCCGCACGGATCTCGATATTGTGCGGGCTCGGACGGACAAACAAGCGGGATGGGGTGTGGTAGTGCTAATAATTAATTCATGGGTACAGGGAAGTCATGAAAATGGAGACCTCGCACAGAGGCGATACGTTCGACATGAAGTTATGCGGGATGGCCAGCTCGTCGATGGAGCCCTGGCCCTGGCAGGTAAGGGTAGTCCGGAGGGATAGGGATGCGTCATTGCTATAATAATTATAATTATATGCGGCTTACAGATAGGTCATGAAAATTGTGGACGAGTTGCAAACTATAACTGAACTGCTTCAAACTCAGTTAAGGTCTTCTGTTAAACAGTAATTAATTAATTGCAAGCCGAGGTTCTAAGGGCTCCGTCAAAACCTGCGCCACCGTTGTTGACCAAGTCTACTTGGACTACGTTGCAGCCGTCGTCATCGCGCTTAGTCCCCACTTTTGAAGTTTTACGTAGAGAGATACGATCACCTCACAATATACTCAGAGCCAAACTGGTAATCCACCAACTGGATTTCACCGACAATAGAGACGAGAAATTCATAGCTTTGGTAAATGTGGGTGCAGAAAGGCGATGACGGATCTAGTTAATGAAGAGCACCCGCTGTAAAACGAACAAACTACCACATAGACGTAGAATTGTCTTACAGTGGGACCGACAGGAAAATAGAGTGTAGCTTGACAGAGGGGATAGACAGAATAGGACGGTAAGGGGACAATTTGACATGGTACCTCGCACCGCGCTCACGCATGATCACCGTCACCCATCAGTTCACCTGCAGGCAAATCCAGCGGCCCTTATGTCGATCGGCGGCTGACAATCCCGGTTCTTTCTTGCTTTCTTTTCATTTCACTATCACGTGTTTGCAATATTCTAATATTTTGACAATGTCGATCGAGCCGCTCCGTCAATTCTTTTCTGCTCGAGTATACGCGGTTGTCGGTGCATCGCCTGATCCTACCAAATACGGCAACAAGGTTTTGAAGTGGTATATCGATCACAAATTGCCCGCGACCGGTATCAATCCACGCGAAGTGGTCATCTACGGTGTTCAGTCGCTATCGAGCGTGTCCGCCCTTCTGAATCAGTCGGGCGCCGAACACATTTCTGTTAGCGTCATCACTCCACCGCGAGTGAGCGAGGTGTTACTCAACGAGATCAACGAGCTGGGAGATAAAGTCAAGGGCGTTTGGTTTCAGCCTGGAAGTTTTGACGATGCCACTCTAGATGCTGCTAGAGACGGACTGAATATTATCGCCGGTGGACGTTGTGTTCTTGTCGAAGGCGAGAATGGGTTACGCGCCGTTGCAAATTTGTGAACTAATTTCTAGAATTTGTGTACAGTGGTTTCTAGTATGGATATTGGATTATGTACATTTAAAAAATAATGGAACATTTCCTATTTGGCAAATTTGTAGTGAATCAATCCACGTGCCTTTATACCGGTTCTTGCTCAATTGCGTGGGTATTTTAAGCGTGATGAATCTCCGCTGCAGCAATTAAACTACCACTGCACTTGATAAATGTTAACACTCCGACTGCGAAGAAATGATGATATTTTCTTCATTGAACACGCATCTTCCTTAAAGACCGCATAGTCGACTCCATGAACCGTAACTCATCCTATTATCCAACGAGTCGACTATACTACACGACTTATGAAAGTTCGATAGCTGTATATTTGCTTTAAAAAAGCTGCTCTCATAACACAACAGAAAGCAACCGCTCATAATATGTCATAATATACACGGATTCGACCACCCGACAGTACAGCCATCATCTAACAAACACTTGATTTTAATCCATGTGCTCCGCATCTTCATTAAAAATTGAAATCGTATACTCCTCGTCTTCCATCTCTGGTACCAGTGGGTCGTAAAATTCTTGCATAGCCAATGGATATTGGTAATCGAAATATATACACATACCAAGTAAACAGCTCTGCAGCAAGGCAGACATAAAATATGGGAGCCAGGAGCTCCAACTCGTGCCTTCCCGCAAAGCTAAAGAGAGTGCCCACAAGCAACCTCCCGGAGCCTGTATCATCAGCGAATGCTTACTGAGCGATTCTGCATGCCGTAATTTGTACGTCATGTACAACTGTGGAATGTATTGACATGCGGCCAAAACTGTGGCTTGAATGCCGAGGAATGCGGCGTACAAACTGATGTACTTGCCGGTTAGGAAAACTAAGAGAGCGAGAAAGAACGTTATCACGAAATGCGCTAGTGCCATGCGGGCAATGTTTACCGCTAACCGATGTTCTGTAGTAATCTCCCGGGGAAAATATACCAAATACAATATTAGACTATAACGCATTAATGCTACAGATAAACAAAATAAACCACTAGTAGATAATGGGAAGCTCACATTATCGCAAACATAGAAAACTGCAGTGCGATCTGTATTACGCCCAACGTCGCGGCGAAGCATTTTCCTCCAGACTAGAATTATTAGATTCATCCTCTTTGAGTCAATAGATGCAATAGATGCTTCACTTTCGTACCAAAACACTACAGCAGCCCATAACATCTGCCGATAACAACAAGACATTTCCTAGACTACATGTTCCGGATGTAGTCCCCAGCAGCAAATACCATGGCGAAATCCCTCTCGAATTTTTCCGTAATATAATCCTGAGGTGTTGCGGAATATATGAAAACACAATACCAAATGCGAGTGCCAACGAAATAAGAAAATTGAAAATAGACTGGTTATTGAGTGCATTGCAGAGTTGAGAATCAACACCCACCATATTCGCGAGCATCTCAAAGCTGTCGCAATCCTGCCAAGCGGATCCGGATTCAAGACTAATGTATATTGTTTGTTGACTCTTTCTATGGCAATGGTGATCGAATCGTTTATGGTCTGAGCATGGAAGAGATGAAAAATCGCATTTCGAAATCACGGCCGCCACGATCCATCATTACTGACCACGCTCATCGCGCGACTTCGTGCGGCTTGGCATTTCGATATGGATATGTTTCACTCCGCAAAATATATTATGCATATAGGTGTATATTAGTTGGCGAAATTCTTTAGTTAATCTCACTAATCCAAAATTATTAAAATAAGCCAATAAGTCTTTTACCACAGACAATGTGTCTCAACACTGCTCATTAACTGCATTCAGCAATTTGTTAAACTTTTTGACGCTTTTCTCCGAGGTTCAAGACGATGCGATGTAAACTCAGGGGCTCGTACTCTATACAGGGACCAGGGCCTGTCCGGCGTTTCGAGCCTTGGTTGCCAACTGCAATTTTCTCCGTTGCGACCTGTCCTCGCTATATAACTGCTTACGGCCCGCGAGTGCTTAAGAATCTCAAAAGACTCTAGTTACAGCGGTCGTGTGCTTCCGCATTTTATTTATAGAAGACTTTCATTACATTTATCGTTGACATGGCATATACTTCGGCGACTCCCACTTCGGAGCATCAGACGCGGTCCCGGACCAAAGCTGGTTCTCATTCGCAATCGCAATCCCAGTCGCAGCAGAAGGCAGTAAGTAGTTGCACTGCCCGAAAAACCGATGAGTTACCAGTATCTCCGGCGCAGAACGGAGTGAATGGCAAGAAAGCCAAGAAAGCGCACGAGGTGCTGACACCACGGTCACGTTCGCCGTTGGGATTAATACCGTCGCACAAGAGCTATAGATATTTTATTCACAAGTACGAGGTTCCTCGGAAGCTTCTGCATGTCTCTATAGGTTTTCTTACCTTGGACCTGTATTGGAACGGTATCAAGCTGTCAGAGGTCACACCCGTACTGGTTTTCTTACTTTCCGCTATTGTCTTACTGGACATCTTACGGTTCAATTTCCCAAGCTTTAGTACCTATTATATTAAAGCTTTTGGATTTTTGATGAGAGAAAGCGAAGTTAATAAGTGGAATGGGACCGTGTGGTATCTGCTTGGTCTGATTCTGGTGTTCTTGGCTTTCCCGAAGGTAGGGCGTCAGTTTTGTTTTATGAAATCATTGGTTGTCTCACTAAACTCTGTTGCAGGACATCTCTATACTCTCAATCTTGCTATTATCATGGTGTGATACTGCTGCTTCCTCTTTCGGAAGAGCCTATGGTCATCTCACACCAAAATTCTTCCGCAACAAGTCGCTGGCAGGTACAGGTGCTGCCTTCCTCACTGGTGTTTTTGCAGCTTATCTTGAGTATGGCTTCATTTTTCCGGCGACACCAGTAGTCAACATTGGCGAACACCTGGCATGGACGCCGGAGACGAGTAAATTGAGTTTACCTGTTCTGTGCACCTTGTCGGGCTTTGTGGGTGCAGCAGCAGAGGCTGCCGATTTCTGGGGTCTCGATGATAATATAACAATTCCTGTAATTTCAGCTATTGTGATGCAGGTTGTTGTTGTACTATTTGAAAAATAGGCAGCAGCTTCGTCGACAGGATTGGGAAATGCAACCCTGGATTTACTTTGATATGACACGATACGTAAACTAGAGCCGCCGACGTCGCGCCTGCGAAGAATTCCAGAACTTGGGACTGTTAATAGGACATATCAGCGTTTAGTGGTGCATGGATTGTAAAGAGGTATGAGGCGGTGCATGATATTATACGAATGCCTAGGATTAGGGGTTATTGAATGCCCTGCAATCTTTCTTATTATTTATTGAAATGATAATTCTATACATAGTGAGCATAACAGAAAGCATTTTGATGGGTTCTTGGTTTGGTATATTACTGTATATATGGTGATAGTTGGTGCTTGTTTTGAATTGTCACGTGCGATAGTTTCTCAGCAGCTGGTGGGTGGCCTTCCGAATTTTGTTACTTTTGTGATCACAATAATACATTTCTCTTTTTGGAATCTAATCCATTATTGGAATACACTGTATATAGCCAGTAAATGGCTTGCATTTAGTTAATAAGTAGTTATTAAAAGAAATTATCATGGATAACCAGCCATAAAAAAATACTGATCCAACCGCGAATCGAACGCGGAACCTCCTCGGATTTTGTTCACTACTGTGAACGAGACGTGATAAACCGTTACACCACTGGACCAATAGAGCTCGGTACCACAAATATCTTGATTGACTCCTAGTATCTAAATCTAGGGCTAGGGTTGAACGGCCATCCCCGCTTGATGGCATTATTGATATTATCTCAAATATAAACCGATTTGCAGCCTGGCAGTCCATCGGTGTTATCATACATGAAGAGGTTGCGGACTTATTTGAATTGTATTGCGTGGAAACTATGAGTTCGTCATTCCGCTTGTTACAGTCCCTTGCCATGCCAATTTCGCCTAAGTGACTCTTCAGTGACTTGCTTTCTGGCACAACCTTGGTTATTCATAACTATTGAGTTAAATCACTCACGATGGTCGGTCCAAGGTAGCAATTTCTCGCGGACTGACGATACGGTCCGGATTGACTGAGCTATTAGTGCAGCGCATATCGTTTGCACGATCTGAAACAAGAAATTGAGTCAGATAGGGTACTCGGTTTCATTAATGGTTTTCTCATAAATTCTCAGACAGTCTGAAGATCATTGTTACTCGGATGGTAACAAAGGATATACGGTGATTAAGTACTTTACCGAATTTAATAACACTTTCTATCCGCAATCTAACGCTTTATATGTGGCTATCGTCTGACAAAGCATGCTATTCTGACGCACTGTCCTAAGTGATGATAACTTCAGATGTGGAAATTGAAAAATAGTTTAATTTCATGCAGTATCCGATTCAAGCAAAATATACTTTCTAGTTTGCATCCCATCTGACGTATATATCACCGAGTCCCCAGTCTGCAAGTTTATCAGCGGCTGCAATTGCAGGTCCAGGTTTCCGGTCTTCAGGTCTTCATGCTCCGTCTCCGTCCACGCATTTTCAGCCACTTATTGCCGGCCGTCCTCGATTCTAACTTCGTCTAGCTGGGTAGGACTTTCTATCTCTGCAGTCAATGTCTGTTTGTGCTTTGCGAGTGTGTCGGTATCTCCTTGTTGGGTTTGTCGTTGGTTTTCGCTTGCGCTGCTGGTAGTTCAAATTCCTACTTATCCAGTGCTGCACATATTTATCAGAAAATCGGATCTTGCGCTAGTTCAAATATCCCGTTTAGTGTCCTGGATACAGCTCGTCGTAATTTAGCTGCTGGGATGCATTTGGTGTGCGAATAAAATAAAAACCTGCAGCGTTATGTTTTCCCACCTTACTGGGAGATAAATGTTACCATGTAGTATTACTAACCAGCAACAAAAAGCTCGACCTGGCAGAGAGCACGAAAGAATCAGAATTACAAAAACAACAGCAAGATGCAAATTCTCTGCGTTACAACACTATATTACCTATCTAACATTATAAAGAGTCAAACGTACCAAATGTAGCGGCATTGCGATCAGTCTTGCAAGTGCACAGCTTCCGCAATAAGCCGTCGTCGTCACGCAATCGTTTCAATGCGTTCTTAGATGCATCGAACCGTGCATTTTTTATAGTGATACCCTCACCCGACCCAATTATGCGGCCATGAATCTGTACGGCAGATAACACAACTTGCTGACCATTTACCTTGAACTCTCGACAATGGATCTTCCAATCGTTACATGAAACATCAGAACAAAGCTGCGCGAGCAATGTCGTAGGATGATGTGAGACATACGTCTCATAGGGCGTGAAATCCTCAAAGTAAGCTCGAACGAGTCTGTCAAAGAAACTCTGCACTTCCGAGAAGTTGAAGTCAGAGTCAATAAGAACTACCCCAAGAGTGGCCTCCATACAATCTGCAAGTGGCTTAGGAGTCTCCAGATTCATCCACACTTGTCCCTTGTTCTCAGAAGCCGCACTATCTTCCTCAAAATATAGCGCCTCGACGTACTCCTGAATGGCGTATGGTAACTGCGACGAGACGTAATCCAAATATCGATGTAGTCCGAGCTTAACGCTGAGATATCCAAGAAACTTGTTGCTGACCATAGGCATCTTGTGTTCAGTCAAATATTGAGGATCTGCTTCGGGATATTTGTTATACACGAACTGGACACAGAGAAGCTCAAATAAGGCGTGTCCTAAAAATTCAAGTCTCTGATACGACGGAATACCCCGCGAACACGAGGAGTGAGTAAACGCAGACCGAATCAACAGTGGGGATCTAAAACGATACCCGACAATATCCGAAATTTCTCCGCAAATTTCCGATCAGCAGCTGATCCCGGTTCCCTTTGGTAGTCAGGAATAACATATGCTTCAGAATATTCTCGCCATGAGTGGAAACGATGGTCGTCAGACATTACTATTTGAGTAACGGCATGAACTGCTTTATCAAATCCTTCGAGAAGCGAGGCTCCATTATAGCTTCACAGACGTCCGCCAACGCCTTGTCGCCGAGAACATGCTCCTTGGCCCGCTGAATAGATTTTGAATTGTTTAGAGGTGTAAGTTGATCCGGATACCACTGAATGGCGTCGCTCGCATGTACTCGTAAAGCTTAATCTCAAGCGCCGTTTCGTACAAATTTTGATTGCAGATGAGGTTGAGACGCTTGATATGATACGAGTATTCGTCCCCTTGAGGAACCTCGATGAATAAAGCAATGGACGTCGAAGCTTTCAAAAAAGCATCGCCAAGAACTTCAAGTCTAGAGATGTAATTAGTCAAATGCAAAAGAATAGTGTGAAAGAGCTGTTACCTTTCATAATTCAGATCCAAATGCGCAGACTCTACCGTGATGGCCTCAACCATGCTCTTCAGATTAACGTTGGAAATATTCAGTACGGTGCATAATTCCATAGCTTGGACACATGACTCGACATGGAACATGATCTGTTTAATTATCAGCTATTAGTTCCAGACACGGTAGCCATAAGAACCTACAGATGGCAGTAATTTTGTGGTCCACATCGTAGCCGCATCAATTGTGCTAACGTAGAATGGTCCGGGAATCACAGCAGCGTCGGTTGAGCGATCTTGATATTCGTTGGCCATACTCTCCAATTTAACTATGATACCTAGGACGAGGAATACTTACCCCCCTCTTGTTCAGCAGACGCTTTCAGGAAATTCTGACCATGTAAAATACGTTTCGCTGCATACACAGGTTGACTTAGCATCTCACTTTCCTTGCCCTTGGTGCTGTATGTGTAGCATTTAATGGAGGGATATTTCAAGCTAGAAGGATACCAATTCGGAATAGATGAATTCTCGTCCAATTTTGTAAGAATTTCCCGCAATTCAAATCTTCGATTTCGATTGCGCTCGTCAACAATGAACTTTTCAAGCCAAAATTGAGGATCAGGCTTATTGTCCCATTTAATCGGAGGATCACCGAGAGTTTTTGCAATGTCGACTAGATCCCAATCAATTCCACCTGTCGAAGTGCTATATGGAGCTAGATAATATGGAAATTTGCGCATATCTTCGTCGAACAATTTGTTAAAAACGTCATGGAACAAACGTACTGTGTATCTAGCAATATCGCCAATTCTTGAAGTGCTCACTGTAAATGGAGTACCCAATACTTTACATTCCACAGGAATATATTCTCCGTCGACGAACAAGGGGAGAGAATAGTAGTGAGGATGAGGCTTACGGGTAAGAAAGCAAAGTGGCCTGTATTGTCCGACATGCTTGGGCAAGTCAAACACTGTCATGTACAAATTCACTTCCTTGACTGTATGCGTCACATCATCAACTGTAATCTCAAATGGAACCGGCTTCCAGAAGTCGGCCGATCGGATAGGATAGGTGTTCGTCTTGTCAGCAGATATCTCTTTTTCTCAGTTTCCCGTAATCTAATCTTCTTTACACGACGCGGGCAGAAATGTACATCGATGTAGTCATTTTGCCGAATGCACAAGACTAGCCGGAATGCGGCGTCTCGCTTCGCTAACGACTTCGACAACCTTCGCTCGCCTTGCATGCTCAGAGTCCCAGACGTTGCCGGCATAGTAATAGCGCAAATATAAAACTCTTTGTCCTCTTGAAAATGAAAGATTGGCCTTGGAGGCGCATAATCATCACGCGGCAAAGCAGACACGTAATTCGCTAGCACCATAAGCGCTGAATGGCTAGAAATCCGAGCACCGCTTTCTGGCTCAACATATAGTAAACCGTCATCATTCGCATTTGAAATTATTGGCTTGTCATCCATGCCGTCTAGGATTCTATCTTGTGGCAACTGCTCGCAAAAACTGCGCATTTGTTCTTGATTCTCGGATACTCCACTCAACGATTGCAAGCTCCTGAGATTATTGCTTTCAACCATGTGAATATATAGCGACGAGCTTTGTCGAGCTCGACCTCTACTCTGAACATACTCAATCATGGTCCGGCAATTATCGAACCGAATAATCAAATTGCATTCAGGCAAGTCAAGGCCTTCTTCTGCTACGTTAGTGGCCACAAGACAATTGACTTTGCTATTGCGGAAGTTGTAGAGCATAATACTCTGCTCTCGAAATGCCATGCTGAAATCACATTACCTGTCTCTCCGTGCCCAGTTAGGACACCTGGTTTGCATCCAAATGGCGTCAGTTGTCGCAATAGACTATATAGAATCCATGCCGTGTAGCGGCGCTCGACGAATATAATACATTTGATGTTGGCCTTAGCATTCTTATAGCTTCCAGCGACAAATTCCAGTAAGAAGAGTACTTTATCTGACAGATCCGTGAGATCTAGTGAGGGTGGTGAAAACTTGTGAGAAGCCAATATATGTCGAACTTCTCGCAAAACTTCTCGTTCAAGATATTGCTTCTCCTTGTCATCTGCAGACGTAAGTTCAGCTTCTAACTCCTGACTTCGCGCAGAGGCAGATAGAGGTATATCGTATCTCTGATGATTGGTATGGTATCCCTTCAATACGAATAGCCACACCTGGTCGGCGCACCAAGGGCCTAAGGAACTGTCAGCGCTGCAACTATCTAAAGAGAGAGGGATGCAGAGACATAAATACCTAGAGTGACTGCAGCTTCTTCGGCGAACAAGAAAATTTTTTTTAGGGATATATCTAAACTACCAAATTGGCGGTGCAACTTCGAATGCAATTCAGTCACTTCGGTATGAACCG